GATATTATATTTTGGACCAAAATCCTTGTCGAGACAAATCCATCGAGGCGAAATTCGATGGGTTTGATTAGTTTCACAACGTCTGTTTGTTTGTACAGCGGTATGTTTAGCGGAAGGCGCTTGTTCATATTGCGAGGCGGCGGCTCTGTGGCATCAGCTCGCCGTACTCCTTGTGAGAGCACTCGTGCCGGATAAACCAAGACCACAATCAGAGGTATTCTTAAACGAACTAGTGAAAAAAAAAGAAATTCTATTTAGTCCGTCAGTCGGATAATAGAAAAATATTAGATACGTATTTTTTATTATTTCATTTTAACAAGAAATAGCTTAGATAACAGACATTTAAGAAGTAGGTGCTCGCTACGTCACAGTTGTAAAAAAAATCTGGCCATAAGCAAGGCAATCATCGACCCATCAAAATGATTTTTAATAGGATATTTGATCATCTTCGGAACCAGGATCCCTGCTCTTCGCAAATGAAGATTTACCATATTAATCGCTACTTCTTGTACATATACCGGATAATTAACATCTATGGCGGCTCATTCACATCGGTCGATGGGTTCTGAACGCAGAGTGATATCTGTGGCTCATTTTCATTGCTCAACCGTTGGTCTATCGAAAAATCAATTGTTAGTAAATCATGCTGTATGTGTAGGTAATCCTAGTACATACATATATGTATAATGACTTAAATGAAATTTTAAGTAAAAACCAATAACTATGACGAATTGTAACTATTCTAATTCAGTGTACATTATTTTGTTTTCAAAGAGATTATAGTGGTGACCTGCTATGATTGATAATATGGATTCTTAATAGTAATTTAAATTGCCAAATACATGTTTGTTGAACTTATTATTCAGAATCGCCACTAGAAAAATTTGCCTGTAGGAAAACCAAGGTTACTTATGAAATCGGATTCCATGCCAAAAAATGTTCTCTTTGAAGAAGACATTTTCGATAACGACTCTACCCATGCAAAAAGGCGACAAGAACACGTGTCGACGCCGACCAAACATTTATTTAAGAAAAAACTAAAATTTTATTCGTAATAAACATAGAGATTCTGAATTTGAGTGTTAAAATAGCACGATTATTTTATTACTTTAAAATTAAAAGTAGTGATTTTTTGTCTGTGTGTTACGTGATTTGAAACACTTCCCTCCATTGCATGAAGTGACTGTGGCGACAAAGTTGTCAGATTATACAGATATACCTATTAATTATAAATCAAATTCCTAGTTGGCACTGTTCTTAGTTTATTTACACCTTTTTTTGTAATCGATTGTTAGATGGCATTGTTCTTGTTTTATTTACATCTTTTAAATTTCTACTCTATGCATCTGTTTTGTGCATAGAGTTAAGGTTTTGTGTACATATCATAGTGACGTCATGAATATGACGGACTGCGTTTTCGCGGGTGTAAAGAAGTTTAAATTTTATTTATTTTCTCGAAATATTTGTTTCTTAAAATTAAAATAAATTAAAAAAATTAAATTAAAATAAACTGTTACAAGTATTATTTCAAATCCTATTGAATTGTACGAGTAACATCCGTGGTAGTCGTCCGTTGAGCGAGCGATATGTTCGGTAGCCGTCCCTGGAGGACATATGGTCGGAGGCGCAGCCGCGGCGGCACCAGACGGAGGAGGAGCGGCGCGGCTCGGGCGGGGACGCGCTGCTCTCCCTCGCGCACCACCACCACCACCACCACCACCAGCCCGACAAGGGCCCCGTGGGCTCCGTGGGCGGCGTGCTGGTGCACATGCCACATGTAACTATACACCCGCCCTGCAGGGCACACCCACCACTTGCATCGCTGACTAACGCGCGCGTTATCTCATATATATGATTCTCACTGTTTCCATGATAGTAAGTGTATTTTTTTTTTCAATCGGAAATGAATCTTAAGACGTCTATAAATGGAGATAAAATCGCATGTAGATATTTGGTTCTTGTTACAGGGCTCTATTAAATAAATTACAATTCGCGTTGAAATGTTTTTTTCGCCTTGTCGCAATACATAGCTCGCCGTAAGTCTCTCCGCCGAGTTTGGGGTATCCCGGGGACAGCTGCGGCTTCCCGGATCTCATCCCCACCAAGTGAGGATACACTTTTTAGTTGAGCGAATACATTATCTCGTCGGGGTATGCTTAAAGTATTTTACATTTAACGGGTAGACTAGCCACGCTTCAATCCTCGGAATAGATCGCAGTATTTGAAGAGCTCTGATTTTAGGCATATTAATTTTATATTTTTTTATACTATAAATTGTATAAAAAATATAATTATAAATTGTCTTTTTTCATGGATCAGTTACTATTATATACGGTGATAGGAATAGTGGGAAAAATGGTGTCAATATCCGCATCAATAGAAATGTTGAAATGTAAATAGTGGGTATGCCCCGTGCCGCCTCGTTGTGGTGTCGCAGACATGCTCACGGGTTACGCTTGTCATGTTTAATTTTTGTTTTTCATATTACATGTTTGATTTGTCGTAGTGTCTCTTACTGTTGTCGAGGAAGGTGTTCTATGTGCGATGGGTGTTGCGATTTTTTTGTCGACTATTTGACTACCAAAATTATAAAGTTTTTACGGACAGTTTGTTATTGTATATATTTATGGTTTAATGCAATATTGATTTGAAGATGAAAATCGCAATACTCGTCATGTTTCGTTACTGATTAAATTCTAATGAAAACCCTTGTAGTATCTTTGTCGTAGTATAAATGTTGCTTCATTAACGATTCCTGTTACCTATCAACCTTTTTTGAACTTTATTCTTACGGTAAATCGATTGAATTTTAAAATGAAACTTACTTATTTTAATATAAGAAAATCCCGTGAATAACCTAAGAACAATCGGGCATAAAATTGTAAACTTTATATTGATTAGAAGTAAAATTTGTGCGGTATGTTTTGTACAAATTTTAGTAAAGATAAAAGATGTCTGCCCGCCACGCGAGACGGCCTTTTTCCTTTTAGTGTCCTCCGTATCTTATAATAGATGTATAGTTTGTTCATTTCATGCAACTGTCACTCATAAGCGACGTGTCTTCGGACCCCGTACTGACTAAGTCGTCAGGCGACACGCAAGTATGTCAGTCTATCTCTTTCTTACTTTCCTGGCTTCTTCACGTGTGTATATGTGTGCATTTTGATGTTAGATGTTACTTGGATGTTAATATTGCTAGTTTGGACATATTGATAACTGAAAAACTCATTGATAACTACTATAAAATATGTGTCATTCATCTACATATGCTAACGAAAGCCGCCGACGAACTTAATTTTTATAGTACTACTATATAAGCTTTTACTAAATTATAAATCTGGACCTGAAAAGCATTAGGTCGGATGTGCAGAACCAGCTAAAATCACTTATCGCCATAACGTTGCTACACTCTTTTTTCTCTTTCCGGCAAATTAACTCTTGTATGTTTGTGCCTTTTTACTCATGAGCAACAGTCATGCATAAAGTCGGATCAGACGACTTTTTCAAATATTTTGATTGCATTTAGCTATTTCTGTTTTTATACAGTTATGCCTAAGATTCCCGACATCCGACCTAATGCTTTTCAGGTCCAGAAATGTATATTTCAATGAGTTTCGACAGTTTGGTAGATGAATAATGACTTTTAAATAATACGTATTCCTAATCGTTGTTGATTTATTGTTGTTTTTGATTGGATTTTTGTGTAATCATTATTTGTCAGTAAATGCGTTAAGTATCAAAATGACTCAATTATCTAACAGTGTTAAAAAAAATGCAAAAATAACAATGGTTCAACAATGAAATTATTTAGTAAAAGATTGCCACAAGTAGTGCACAGGAATTATAATAAAAAACAAATAACTTTCGTTGTTGATTATACACACAGTAGTACGTTAGGTTACCATAAAATGTCATTTTTTACATTGATTTTGAGTTGTACGAAGAAGTGTAAAATTCAAATTTGTAAAATTGACAATGTGTAATCTGATGTGCTATTTTGAATGTAGTTTTCTTTATGTCATTAGAATTCGTAGTTAATTCTTTGTTATTGTAATATCGTGCATTTATCGGTTATATATACGTGTCATAATAATGTAAATCTAGAAGGTATTGCTTAAATAAACATGATTAACTGCCACTTTGATCTGGTCACGTGATAAGCCGGTATAAAGTCGACAAATTGATTTACCTTAAAGGAAAACAATACTAACTTTGAAATATATTGTTGACTTGTGCACATGTATATAGTTAAAGATATACTTATGTTTGCTCTCAGCTTTCTAGTAGATATATCGAATGAGTACCGTAACCGCAATGAATATACTATTTCTAACGATAATCAATCAGGGTTACATTTTTTCATACAATAATAACATTGTTTGCACATCAAATATAACGAGCACTCGATATCAGATGTATATAGTCTATTGTTAACACCATAAGGCACATAGTAGATTGGAGGTTTTTCACCGATGAATGATTTAGGTAAAAAATGTGGCCCTGATTTGTCCATATCGTTCTGACTTTAAACTGTTACAATTGTCATATTTCCGATTCTAATGGAATACTATTATGTATATCATCCTCAACATTTCTTAGTTTACAAAGTTATATTGAAATATAGCGAATTTATAGCAGTAAGTAACCAAAATGAACCAAGGTTACTTTAATGGATTGAATATTCAATCTTTAAATACACTTAAGCACCGGCACGTAAATATCAACAATAAATGCAGAGGTGAGTATTCACATATTAGTAACACTTAAAAGTAAGTAAGTTCAGTTACTGAACGAGATAACGAAGACTATAACGGATAATAAAAACTGGAGTATTATTTTTATTAAAGTGAATGTCAGACTAATGTTTTAAACGTGTAGATTGAAATCGAGAGTTAAAATAAATTAAATGCTGTCAGATAATTGTAACGGTGTAAAGTTTGAACGGTGTGGTGTATTAATTACGGGGTGTAAAGTAGGCGTGGGTTGCGTGTGTTCAGATCATGACCGCGACGGTGGAGACGATCACCGAGCAGCTGGACATGGCGGCCACGCTGCCGCCCGCCGACCACCCGCACATGGCCACCGCGCAGACCGTCACGCTCACCGACACGGACGTCGCCACCGCCACCGCTGATGTGAGTAATCTATCGAGGCATTGCCACCGCTGATGTGAGTACTGGACCGACTCACTGCCACCACAGATGTGGGTGCTGTACCCACTCACTGCTTATGTGAGTATTGTACCCACACCCTGGTTTACTGATGTGAGTATTTGACTGACTCACTGTCACCGCTGATATGAGTACTCTACCGAATCACTACCACTGCTGATGCGAGTATTGTACCGGCTCACTGCCTTCGCTGATGTGACTGGTGTACCGACTCACTGTCACCGCTGATGTGAGTGGTGTACCGACGCACTGCCACCGCTGATGGGAGTACTAGACTGATTTGCTGCCATCGCTGATGTTAGTACTAAGTTTTGTTCCGACTCATTGGCCTGCTGATGTGAGTGCTGGACCGACTCACTGCCACCGCTGATGTGAGTACTGGACCAACTTACTGCCCTGCCGTAAGTACTGCACTCCATGCACATATAGGTACAGTTAACAGTACATAAGGTTATACAAATCTGTTAAAACTAACTGCTAAAATTTGACTTATTATGGTAACAGATGTGCAGCCGTGTGTACACAGATCGTAATATCTAAAGTGGTCATATTTTTGATGCTATAACACTATACTGACGCGGCATTATTGTTGATTCCCAATGTTGCTTAACAGATGTCTACGCACAACACAGTAATTCAACACAGGATTCAAGAATAAATAAATACATTTATCACTTCCCTGATTCAAATAGATGATTAGATCTTTATAAGTGTTAAACTTTTAATTCGATGATTTGTATACACAGGTATCAACTCCAAATTTGTTGGGAGACAACGAATGTAGTGCGGAGTCAGTAGAAGATGACATGACAAATTTTTGGCCAACGTCCGCTGGAAAGTTTCATTTTTGCATAGAAGAACTACCTCAAGAGCTTCAGTATATTCACCAACTGTTGCAGGTATGTTTTTTATGGATGTGCAGCTTAAGTCATTTTCGGTGAGAGTGATGATGTTTACGCTGACGCTCCTACACATTTTTAATAGCAATGTTTTTGTCACTTTGAAATATCGTACGTGGCAAAATAAAAATGCAATTTTTCTCCTCGATTGTTTGTAACATCGATAACGTCTACAAAAAAATCATTAAAAAATGTAAGTTTAAAAAATATAAGTTTTTCAGTATAGCATTGTGAATGCGAGATTGATTTAATATAATAAATAGAAGTTACCAATATTTTTGTGTTTCATTAACGCAACATTATATTTATTCATAAGATGAATGACCAAATATTCATTATCTCGCGTTCAGGCTCGTTAAACGGTTATTCCTCGTTGCATCTAAAGTATTAACTCACAAACTCGTACTGATGCACCGTAGTGGAATATGGCTGGTACTCCCTATTCGATTCCAATCATAGATAAGAGCTATGCCCCAGCATTAATAGACTGATGATGATAACTATATAATTTATTATTATTATTTGATTAAATTTCTTATTACTATAGCTCAGTATGACAGATCATAGTGTGAGTTTATAATACCATATTATTAAGCTAAACGAATCTCTATCTCTACATTTCATAAATCGCTATAAGGGTTATTTTTAACAGGAATTGAAGAATACCTCCCGTCCAGATGTGTTATACCACTTGCTGCAGTGTCTGCAGACGTTGGTGTTAAACGCTGACGCTTTAGCAGACCACAGAGGATTCCTCATATGGTGTCAAGAGAATCTCCTCATAGATAAGTGAGAGTCCTTACATATTATAAACAGATGTCCCTCGCTTCATATTTTTTACTCTATGAACGCGGTGGGTGGATTTAAAATTCTGTGTGGTATTATAAAGTGTAGGTGCACATGTCATTAAGTAGTTGTATGAAATCCTACAGACTTTGAAAGTTGTATTTATTATTGTGATAATACATATTATTTTGGTAATGATATGATATGATATGATTTATGTAAACGTCATTAATTATGATAAAAAGTTGATAAGTTTCTTTCGCTTGTTCTTCTTGTCAGCTAAAAGACGTCCTGAACAAATAGTAGGGGAAAAATTTTTTTTGGACGATTCAAAAGTGCTTGTTACAGCCTACTTGAATAAAGATATTTTCATTTCATTTCATTTCAAATATATTACCAGTTGCACTAACGTTTAAAGCGACATCACCCATACGAATTCGACATTCATTAGAACTTAAAGGCTTCATTATACCTTAATGGACGTTTGTGCAACTGACCGTTAATGTTGTAGATTTTTTGTCCACCCTCCATACGAATTCGCACCTTATTTTAAGCCAAACGCGATAAATTAAAACACAGTTGTTAACTTAATTTGAATAAATTTATAAGCACTTTGGTTTGTTTTGTTGGTCAAGTGAAAAATCACTTTCTGTCATTATCTTGACATTCTTAATCCTTTAATATGACCTTAATTATCATATTTCCTCCATTCAATATGTATCCAAATATATCTATTATTACTCATTGCTCATTGCTCGGTCCTTTATTCTACATAGCATACATTAGTGATATAACCGCCTGTCTCAGGCATGCTAAGATTTTACTCTATGCAGATGACACTAAAATTTATATGGAAACAAGTACAAATGAGGACTGTTTAAAACTACAAGAGGACCTTGATCGCCTTACACAATATTACATTAACAACAAGATCACAGTTAACACTGGGAAATGCATGCATATCAAATTCACAAGACGTAAACAACCGATGGAGTATGATTATAAATTAAATAATGAACCGCTGAAAAGGGTTATTACGGTAAGGGATCTAGGAGTGATTTTGGATTCAAAATTAACATTTGCCAATCACTTCGAAAACATAATTAACAGGGCATACAAAAATCTCGGATTTATTTTTAGAGTAACTAAGGAGTTTAAAGACGCCACTTGTATGAAAGTATTGTATTATGCGTATGTACAGTCTATCCTTGAATATTGTAGTGTTGTCTGGAATCCAAAATATGTCACGCACGAACACGCTCTTGAAAAACTACAAATGAAGTTCGTAAAATACTTGAATTTCAGACTCAACTATATCTCAAGTGGTTACGAGGAGTCCTGTAGTAAACACAGTCTCGTTAGTCTTAGGGACAGGCGTCGTATAAGAGATATGCTCACTCTTTACGATGTCTATTCGGGACAATTAGATTGCATCGGGTTAGTTAACAGAATGGTGTCTTTGAATGCACCAACGAAGCGGTCGCGACACACGGAACTATGTCATATACCCCTTGTAAGGACAAACTATGAGGCCAATGACGTGACAGTCAGATTACCTAGAACTTACAATAAATGCTTTTCCGGAATAAATGCTTTTCTGGAATTGACCTTTTCTCTATGTCCAGAAATGCATTTAGGGCCGCTTTGGTCAGATCTGTCAGTGCGGATCGTCATGAATTGAGATGATAGTTAGTTCTATTATTGTTATTGTTTATTGTTGTTATAATTATTATTATTATTTATACGTAATCGAGTTGATTTTATTAATGGTTCTTAACGAGCCATTGCCTGTTTGAGTTGTTGTTACTCGCGCCATGTAAGCCCGACAGTAGAATGTGCCTCTGTATCGTAGGTATCTTTGCCTGCCTTACCCACTCGACGCGCGGTCGCCGTGCGTTCAACTTGGCCCCGTCTTTAGAGTTAATTACGTAATTATGAATTGAAGTTCTAGATACGCACACCTTATTTAAACATATAAACACATACACACACACACACACACACACACATACATACATATATACATACACCATATTTGTCGTGCGATGTAATTTGTAATTTATAAGTATGTATATTTTTTTCTAATACTTGCATTTTCTTTGTTAACTGCCCTCATTATGATTATATAATTAATAAGATTTGTAAACATAATAAGTTTCTATAATTGGCGTCAATGCTGCATACTTATTTTTGTATAGAAGTAACAATACTGCTGTTGAAACTTTGTTGAATGAATAAATAAATAAATTACTATCGCCTTGCACCCACTTGCCCCTTGTCCCTTTTTTTCCAATATGGGTTGCCAGGCAGATATTGCCTTTTGTATACTTCTTTCATTTGTGTCCTTTGTAGTGTGCAATAAAGAATATATTATTATTGTAACTCATAATTCCACACTTAAGACTAGTTATCGCCACGCGTGCCCAATTCAGACTGCCACGATTCGGTCGGTTGTCAGCTTATATAGCATCTTGCACGTTGTCATCGTTGAGTGTCACAAGTTGGCGTTACTAGTGTTAACTTCTGGTCACATTATATTTATTTATTTCATTTTTTTTAATTGACAACATTCCGTTACGAAGTTTCATGCAGTTTTCGCTATACTACACAGTTAAGCCGGTGAAGTATCATATCTGTTATCAGTATCACAAGATTCTGAAAAAATCATGCTGACTAGCAGCTTATTTAAAGTGTTATCTGGATTAATGGATGTGTGAACCTTTTTCAATTTCATTTTCTTATTCAATCTAACTTTTCCATGGTGTAAATAATAAACACTTTTTAACGTTTTGAATATAGAGCAGGATATGACATTCATTTGAATGAATGATTGATTTATTCCGGTGCAAATATGACACAACTTTTTTAGGCTCTTACATTCGGCTTATTTTATTTGTGACATTTAACATTGAGTGGGGTAAATGTATGTCAGCTTATGGAACGTGTGCAACGCGTGCCACTCGCACATATGCTCGGTGGCGGTGCCGGTGCTGCTGCACTGCGTGACGCTCGCGGGCGGCGCCGACGTGTTCTGCGGCCTCGTGCGCGACCAGTTCCACCACCACGAGTCGCGCGTGCGCTTCACCGCCGTGGAGCGAGTCAGCATCATCATCAGGTGCGTGACGTCACACCGCGCGACGCTAGCCACCTCGTGCGCGACCAGTTCCACCACCACGAGTCGCGCGTGCGCTTCACCGCCGTGGAGCGAGTCAGCATCATCATCAGGTGCGTGACGTCACACCGCGCGACGCTAGCCACCTCGTGCGCGACCAGTTCCACCACCACGAGTCGCGCGTGCGCTTCACCGCCGTGGAGCGAGTCAGCATCATCATCAGGTGCGTGACGTCACACCGCGCGACGCTAGCCACCTCGTGCGCGACCAGTTCCACCACCACGAGTCGCGCGTGCGCTTCACCGCCGTGGAGCGAGTCAGCATCATCATCAGGTGCGTGACGTCACACCGCGCGACGCTAGCCACCTCGTGCGCGACCAGTTCCACCACCACGAGTCGCGCGTGCGCTTCACCGCCGTGGAGCGAGTCAGCATCATCATCAGGTGCGTGACGTCACACCGCGCGACGCTAGCCACCTCGTGCGCGACCAGTTCCACCACCACGAGTCGCGCGTGCGCTTCACCGCCGTGGAGCGAGTCAGCATCATCATCAGGTGCGTGACGTCACACCGCGCGACGCTAGCCACCTCGTGCGCGACCAGTTCCACCACCACGAGTCGCGCGTGCGCTTCACCGCCGTGGAGCGAGTCAGCATCATCATCAGGTGCGTGACGTCACACCGCGCGACGCTAGCCACCTCGTGCGCGACCAGTTCCACCACCACGAGTCGCGCGTGCGCTTCACCGCCGTGGAGCGAGTCAGCATCATCATCAGGTGCGTGACGTCACACCGCGCGACGCTAGCCACCTCGTGCGCGACCAGTTCCACCACCACGAGTCGCGCGTGCGCTTCACCGCCGTGGAGCGAGTCAGCATCATCATCAGGTGCGTGACGTCACACCGCGCGACGCTAGCCACCTCGTGCGCGACCAGTTCCACCACCACGAGTCGCGCGTGCGCTTCACCGCCGTGGAGCGAGTCAGCATCATCATCAGGTGCGTGACGTCACACCGCGCGACGCTAGCCACCTCGTGCGCGACCAGTTCCACCACCACGAGTCGCGCGTGCGCTTCACCGCCGTGGAGCGAGTCAGCATCATCATCAGGTGCGTGACGTCACACCGCGCGACGCTAGCCACCGGGATATAAACTCACTCATCTTCATCGATTTCATAATGTTCTCGGTGTCATACGGAACGCAGAATCCTTCTAAAGGTAGAAAATTAGTTAAAAACACATTTCATTTCCCCTGCACAAATGAGATTAGCGATGTCCGCTCTTCTGCATTTGAAAACTAACTGTCTTTATGTCTTCTTGCAAAACCTTTAACTTATAGTGTTTTTTTTTTGTTGGCATTTGAAGGTTTATGGACGGGTCGCCTATAAAGACCAGTTTGCCTCTACAAACTGCATTGGCTACCGCGTTCTGCTACCTCATCTCAAGCATGGACGATACAAATGTATACGTGGCCCAGCGAGCCACGTTGTACATCGGCACCATACATGATAATGCCATTGACGTAAGAAATTATCTATTATTCAATATCTCCTCATAGATAATATCATACCAATACGTTTTGAAATCTACAGATCTTAATTTATTTTAACCAAATTATCAATTTTGCTAGCTATCTTGATTGGCTCGTTTTTGTAAAATTCCATTGACGCTTTGTTTCATTAACTATATTAAGATTGATTTGATATACTGATACCGTGCAACTAATTGAAGTTCATCCGTCAAGCTGTGTCAATTCCAGGCCTGTGCCTGGTAAGGTTTAGGCGGTAATTTCAACTTTTAGGACATAAAATTCGAAGTTAGTGATAGCTGTTTGAAGATATAAAATACGCGATAGAACCTATCTATCCATTTGTTTTGTTAACGGTAGATCTCTACGAGGTAGGCTCAGAGGACCCACCGTAACAATGCATAGTCCTTACATACCTCTTGGCCGCTTAGGTCTTCTCTTACGCTTTATATTATTTTGTCGTTTCATCTGGGTCTCTTTCCACATGTTGGAACCAATGGAGCATGCCTCTACAAATTTTGGCGATGAGGTTAAACCGCGGGTCCTAAATGTAAAAGCCAATTCCAGTTGCTGCTGTACTGCTTGGAGACACAGTTCGATTTGGTGATAGTGGACCGGCCGATGGTGCTGCAGTCGATCTACCAGTTGCACAACACATTGAGCGATCGCCGCATCCTTACCTGGGAGTTCTTCCTGAACAGGTTCGAGGCACTCCTGCTTGAGGCCCAAATCAATTCTAATAAGGCCGTTGATTTCTCTAATCTGAGAGGTACGTCTGCTAATAAATATGTTTTTTGTCAATTATTGCATTCTATTTTTTCTTATTTTTATTTGTTTAAAGATTGTCGGGACTTATTTTATTTTTATCGTTTATGTGCAGATTCTGTTTTGGTTCCTCATTCTTTTTTATCGGTGAGTTTTTTTTTTTTATATAATACACACTTCGAATTTTTCTCATCTTTTATAGTGTCGATAGTGTACATATTAATTATTTCTGTTTCTAAACATAACATACTGTATATTAGCAGCCAAGATAGTCAATTATATTACAATCCATGTCATGAAATTTAATACATACAGAATGTTTTTTTGTTGTAAAGTGGAGCAGTTGATGTTTATATACAAAAAAACAAAACCCTCGCATTTTGTATCTACTTTCGTTTCGGGTGACGGATTCATCTATAGAAATATGTATGTTAAAAGTTCATTAGCAAAAATGGTCATTAAACAATAGACATAACGGTCCGTTGCCCGCCAGAGCTGGTGAGCAGCGAGACCAGTTCCGAGTGGTTCCTGTACAAGGTGCGGCGCGCGCACGAGGCGCTGAGCGTGTCCGCGCGCGAGCCGCACGTGAACACGCTCAGCGCCTCCTTCGGCACCAAGTGGCCCTACAAGCGGACCATATCCGCGCCCGCCACCATGCCGCCGCAGCCGGACGCCAGGCACGGTGCGGTTACTGTTATATATTTTATCGCCCATCACGTTTACAATGGTCACAGACCAGGACACAGAAAAAAAAACCAACAAATTTTGATGGGGCCAATAAGGACCTCAGCTTGTGCGTTACGGTAAGAACCGTGTACCGCCATGTTAAAAAATTGACGTTAAGTATAATAATAATTATAATATATAAAATAATGTTTATGATTACGTATTATATGAAAATATCACATGTAAATACATATTCAATTTATGAATAAAATGTGCTATTAAACAAAAACCAGTTTCCAAATGGCCATTGTTTTTACTTCAAAACATCTCGATTAATTTTTGTCGATTAAGTAAGCATATATACAAGGCTTGAGCCCGTGAAATTGGGACGTAAAAGGTCTGACGATGTAAAGATACATTTTCAGCGAAAGAAAGAAAATACATATGGGAACACACACGGAAAAAAAAGCCAAAACTAATAATCTCTTAAGACATGTTTTAGAATCCATACATAAGAAAGTTATAATTATAACTGATATATCCCGATCCCGGAAGAATCATATTAACATCTACTTATATATCGTATGGGAAGCAGAATTTCGTAGGCATCAAAATATTACGAATTCACTGAGTATGTGTAAGTTATCGAATTCAATGGCACCTAATGTAATCCAACCGCTATTGGTAGCACAAGCGTTAAGTTTATCACCACGAATTAATTACTTTTTATGATTCTAGAACGCGAGAAAGTATACTCGAGGCAATATTCGGCGCCGCTGTTGAAGCGGAAGACTTCACGTTTCGGTCTCGGACAACTGCTGGCTACCCCGCAGTCACTAGGGCCCACGCAACGGTCTAACAATACCCATGGTAATCTTACTGGCACTTTTACAATATAATCAAACTTCAAGTGAGTTCAAAGTAATTGGCAGGCTTTTATTTGTAATAAGGTACATTACTACCGCTTTTAGGGCTCCGAACCTCATAAAGACAGAAACGGAACCGTTTGAATCCGTTTTTTCTGGGAACACCTTTATTTTCCGAAACGCGTGAAGATACCGAGTTTTAATCAAAACTATATACTCACTTATATAGTCCTTTAAATTGTTAGGTATCGGAGGCAACTTACGGAATGGATGTATAACATGACAAATTTTGTTATATTCGTTTAGATAAATAAACTTGGACTTTAAGACCCTAGCATAATTTGTCTCCATGTTATCCTAATTTTGTCTAGTCAGCTACCATTAAGTTTCTACAATAAACAGATAGTTATTCAGTTTTCCATTCATTATCTCTTAGATGGTTTCCACTCTTTATCTGGCCGTTCCACTGAGGATACCCTCACTACAGTTTTACCCAGAGCCGTCGACTTGGAGGAGGCTGACAGGGAGACTACCAATCTGTTGGTCTTCCTGCTTATGCAGTTTTTGTCAAGGTGAGAAAATCGTCTTGACGATTTGATTTGATGAAAACTATATATAAATAATAATATATTTTATTTATAAAATAGGATAAGAGATCAGTTTGTTATTTTCGAAGTATTTTTAAGTATTAGATGTGTATCTACTGAGTTGGTCACTACCTATTTCAAGTAATTCTGCAAGTAAATATAATAACAATAGCATTTACGAGTATCAAGTTGAAATAAAAAATCTATGCCATTTTTGTTTTTCTAGATTGTAATTTGCTATTGTTATTTCTGTAAAATGACGCTATATTAAGTCCTTTTTAGTTAAGTTACATTGATTAATTCAAATTATCAACGTGTCACTCTTTTAAGAGTTATTTATTTGTTGAACTTAGATCCGACCAAGCACACCCGACTGAAGATAAAGCGACGTCCAAGACACAAGAGTTGGTGCTGAAGCATCTGTTTTTATTGCTCGGTTACAATTGTGTCGAGAAGTATTTCCATATTTCACCATATACATTGAGGTAATTCTAAAAACATTTTTAAAATAGGCACTTCTTCCTTTTACCTATTACTGTTGAAAGTAAGTATTTATGAAATTCCTTGTTAATATCTGGAAGCGAAACTAAATTTTCCTTATATTTCCAATATAATGATATTTTTATGTACTAACTATAATCTTCATTTTCTTGGTTAAACTTGAGGACTATGGCGTTCCTCAGGGCTCAATACTTGGGCCTTTGCTGTTTATAATCTATACAACGGATATGGTTAAAGTGATCAGTTACGATTGCTATGCAGACGACGTGCAATTGCATATATCTAGCTTATTGGTCAGATGATAAAGGGCTCCTTCACAGAGGTTCCTGAATATTTAAATGTCAAATTTTTGAGAAAATGCTTTTAATATTATTTATTTAAGCTAAAAAGTATTTAGCTAATAATTCGTTATTGTAATATTGTGAACTCTTATTGACAATAAAAAATTGAGCTCAGTGAGGTAAAAATAAAATATCATGTGTACAACACTTCATTGACAGACAATCGTCAATATTCAACGCGTTCATGGCGAATCTGCCGCAAGTGTTGGACCAGAACCACGTGATGGGGGCCAGCATTGCCGAGCCGACATTGCTACTGTTACAAGTAACGTTTTAATTCATGATTAAATTTTAGGGAAAAGACTAGATGTAATAGATTTGAATTAGTTTGAAAGTTAATACTTTACTTTTACCTACCGTTTCTGATACTGCGGGATTGGTCGTGAATAGTTTATAATTTGCATACATTTCCACTTTTTACAAATGACTTTAGTTTTTCAGATCAATTATTATATTTATTCCAATTATTTTAAGAACGCGTTGGATACAGCATAAATCAGAAAACTTGCTAAGACGAATTCCAAATTAGGACCAAAAGTAGCAGAACTCCTCCAAACACATGTGAACATATCACCAACAGTTTGAAAAAAAAATCAATAAAATGTGCGATGCCAATATGAAGTACGTTTAACAAGGATGGGTGACCAAAAATTTATTATCCGTGAAGCACGTTCAGCTGTTAGTGTCGACTATATCTGCAGTTGTAAACATCCATCAATCTGTAATGGGGTAGGTCATGGCTTGTTGCAGCAGCAGCATATCTAATAGGTATTTGAGAACATTAAAATTTTTATAAAAAATTGTGATCATCCTATAAGATAAGAGCGTATTAACACACATTTTACTTTATTTTAAACGAAATAATGCATATTTTTTGCAGATTACACACAATAAAATCAAATGTTTTTTTGATATTTTATCCGAAACGAAAACGCCTTTTTAAGTGATTACAACTCCGATAACGTCAATCGCTAGCAAATATGACTTCCTGTTGACAATTTTATTTTGATGGGGTTTATTTACTGGCGTGTGATCGGCGTAAGGCAGACAGCGTTTTTGGCACTGTTTCGGAAATTGAAACTTTAACTTTGATTTTTATTGATAAATACAGTAAATTTCCCGTTTATTAATGTAACGTACTTATTATGTAATAAAGAATAATTTAAAACTATTTTTCAAAATTTGTCGAATACCCTATTATGGTGATTTGTACATAGTAATATTATAAAGAGGTAAAGTTTATAGCTTTGTGTCTTTGTTATATCAAGCGGAAATAATCTTTTTTGGGGATAATTTGTGGGAATACTGATGCGAATATGAAAATTCTTTCACCTACGGGAAGGTGCATCATACGCGGATAACTGGGCTGTACTTTACCTAGTGTTCAATAAATTGAGTGTACGTTTCTAGTACGTGAGTGGAGGTACACACGCGGGATCGTGTCCTCCCACCGCCACTCACTCGCTGGCGGCGCTGGAGCCTCATGTACGACGGCATTGGCTGATGGCATTACTCGTGGTACTATATAAGGTACAGTTCTAAACTCAATATAGTTTGTATATACAAATTATAAAAAGAAAAGATTTAATTGTTTGTAATTGTTTCAGGCTCCGAAACTACTGGACCGATTTAAAAATTCTTTCACGTATGGGTAGCTACATCATACGGGGTTGACATAGGTTATAATTTATAAGTTTATAAGGCGCGGGAAAATAGCTAATTCAGAATAAGTTTTCAACAATCACCCGTGAAAGTAGATTATATGTTATACTGAAAACTCGATTATAAATGCCATTGATTCTTAAATCTATAACAGGAAATGCGGTACTAAAATTAATGGTCTTGATAAGATTTTAACCAAGGTTAGATATGGAAACAGAAAAAATGGTACTTCATAAATGTGTATCCCAATATGATCTTAATAAGATGAGTGCATAATATCACATCCTCTACCTTACCGCCCACTTATTCACATATCACAATAATATGTCTAGGCAACGTTTCTAAACTTTGTTTGTAGGGGGTAATCCTCGAATATACTGAGCCGATCATGAAACTTCTTTCATTTTCGGGAAACCACACTATACATGAGTGATATATGCTATAAATCATGTTTTTTGCAGTATCACTATTCTAGTGGCGCCCTCTGCAGTCAAGTGCAGTCGCTAGTGAGAATAGTGCTGAATACGGTAGAAGCACAGTATCACCAATGCAAGCGAATTCCACCCATGATAGTTATGCCGCAGGCTCGCGCTAGAGGTCAGTTTTGTACACGAAAAAAATGTGAAATATTTTTTTTTTTGGAAATGTAAAGAATTTTTTGTACTATAAGATTTAATTTGTAATATATTTGCATTATTAATTATAAATGTTCCTATTTATTTAAAAATCACATTAAAATAGTGATTTTAAGAATTCCATTGGTCGATTTTTGTTTTAGATTCTCTATTTTGTAGAGTTTGATAAAGGGATTATATCCAAAGAAAATGAAACATAATCCAAAATGTTCTCCACTAAACAACTGATTGTTTTGGAGATGAAAAGGCAGCGTAAAAACCTTATTGGCATCCACATAAGACGCGGTATCTATTTTATGGATTTATATTTAAATTACTCGCCAGATCGGTGAAGACTGTTTTCCTTTTTATAATGAATTCAAATGTATTTGGAAACAGATTTGCGGTCCCGCGGAATTTCGCTTTGGTAATAGTAAAACGTAATAAAAACAAGTGACGTGGGATCTCGGGATTTCTGTATTTTATATAGTAATTTATTTCCGCTTGAAATAATGTTCAAACTACTGGTAATTTTTAAGATAGTATGTTTTTATTTTGTTATGATGCATTATTATATGTGATCAATTTTGCATTCACAATGTTAGACGGTGTTGGTTTATAATATAGCAAATTAATACTTTAAATATACGTTAAATATAAAAGTACATTAAATATAGCAAATTGTGTAACGATGGCAATTCTGTTGCTACAAAGTAGACTAAATTTAGTTTTAATCCTGTCAAAATCTTTGATTTCCGAGGATTCAAAGTCGCTCATCGTTTTCGACCAATCTGTAATTTCGATCAGTTCTGCGATTCTGTAAAAATCCGATCCGAATTCACTCCAAAAGCGGCATCCGCTCAACCTTGAATTGGTAATAATGTTTCGTGACATAAGTGAGTTTAGAAATGCCATAGTGTTAGAATATCTGAGACTAGTATAATCAATCGATCAATTTTGTTTTGTATTTCTGATCATGATCCAGATCCATTGTCTAATGGCCGGATCAGAAAGGGGAGCGAGAGGCTAGTCTATAACTAGACTAGACTATAAGTTCTTCTGAAATAGATTCTGTTGTTGGTGGACATGATTGATACTGTAACAGATCTGAGTCAGCCGTCGTTGAAGACGGAAGTGGAGGGCGGCGCGGGGTGCGGGGGCGGCGCGGGTGTGAGCGGGAGCGGCGCGGGGGCGGGGGCGGGTGCGGGCGCGGGGGCGGGCGCGGGCAGCAGCTGCAGCCCGCTGCCGGCGCTGGACCGGAAGCCCAAGCTGCACCACAAGTCCCCCGCGCACATGCACACGCACTGGGAGGAGCCCCCCAAGCCGCCCAAGTCAGTGCACTACCGATACACTTCCATCACCTTATAGACGGATAGCTCGTGACTAAATCGTGCATGACCATTATAAAGCTTGATTTTTCAGTATGTTGAGATACTAAGGGTATTCATCCGCACTTATTACTCCCTCAAACCATGTTAGTTGTAAATTTTCTGTTGCTAGGCCTTGATCAAAAATTACTGATATTTAGCTATTTTCACAAAATTATGATCACGTAGTAGGTAGCTCGGCGGCGTAGTGGATAAGTGTCTCCGCCCGCGATTACAGTCGCTAAGCAAGTTTCTCAAGGGTACACGGGATGGGTGACCAGAAAATTATTATCTCGAGCTCCTCCGTGTTTTGTAAGGCACGTTGAAGCCTTTGGTCCCGGCTGCATTTGCAGTCGCCAATACCCTCCAATCCGCCATGGACCAGCGCGGAGGGTTATGGTCCGTCCTCCTTTGCCACCCATGAGGAAGGTCTGAACATCTGCAGTGAGGAAGTAAAAGGGCTGATGATGTGATATCCTATTAATATTATAAAGGCGAAAGTTTGTAAGTATGGATGTATGGATGTTTGTTACTCTTTCACGAAAAAACTACTGGACGGATTTGGATAAAACTTTACAGCAATATAGGTTATACATCAGAATAACACATAGGGTACTTTTTACTGGGAAAACTTCTCACTCCCACGGGATACCGACTTCCACGCGGACGAAGTCGCGGGCGTCCACTAGTGATATTATATTACTGAGAATGTGCTTTAGTTTCTTTTTAATAATATAATCTAAATTAATAACTTCTATAGTAATTTTATGTTTTTATTCATGCTGGGCTGATATTAAATATGTATTATGCGAGTCGTTGTATTGTATAATCGAATAGTTAAAACTGCAATTTCGCATCTCGTTGAGATTGAGTTGCCAATTCTAAATTGGCCTGCTGGGATGTTTCCGTAGATATCAGCAGTGGAGTTTGGAACAGGAGTCGTCTGAGAGCGAGCTAATCGCCATCCCAGAAACTAGCGACAAATCCGACACCACTGTCCACGGTAGTACCGCACCGGTTAGTTAAATGTCGCCCATTATGTATTTATTTAAGCTTAACAATAATTTGTTAGTATTTGTGTGTCGGTGAGGTGATTTTTTTTTAAATACAATATTAATGCTCATTTGGGGTCGTCTGAGTATGTCACTTATGTTGGGGTTAGTAGAGGGTTAACGAAATATGAAATTGCAAGACAATTTAATGCGTGAGTGCGGTCCTAAATTTTAAATGCAATACTATTTTAAATGAAATTTTTAAAATTGAATTTAAATAGTTGCGAAACTGAATTTTATAGCGCTGTTTTAATTTTACCGCTTGTTAGTGTAACAATGAAATGTGTGACTTGTTGTGACAAGGAAAGAGAGAGGGTTAAAATCATGTAATATGAGTGACGTAATTTACGGTTGACCCTTTTCGATATAGTAACCGTGTTTTAAATATGTTTTTTTTATCATCATATGTTTATGGAAATTTTTATAAGTAGATCTTACTTTATACCTATGAATACTGTTTGGTCATTTATACTTTACTTTTTTTTTTATTTCAATTGGTAGGGTTCGTTCGATGAGCCGTCGCACTACGAAGACCCGCCGCCTAAAGTTGATAATGCGACAGCATCGTCACACCCACCGCTCAACAAAATCAATGTAAGTGTTTGTTTACATTTGCTACCCAGATTTAACCTGTTAGATGAACTTTAGAATATGCAGTGATGGTTCAAAAATATATTTTAAATTATGTTTTTTATTATTACTTACAATTCAGTACACAAGACAATACATTACACGTCGGTTTTTCTTTTATGAATATTTGGGATAGAATGTCGCCACGCCTTTCAAGTATTTACATTTTCTAGAGGACGCCATTAAACAACGTCATTCCATTATAAATCAATATTGTCGTTGCGAAATATATTGTTAAGGCTTAGGATTTGGAATAAAAATTAACGCCAATTGTAGTTTTTAACACAATAAAATTACAATAATTAATCAACTAGAAAATTCTCACTTCAAGTTCACTATTAGTAGTAGACCGTTCACCACACTGGTTATCGCTTGGAGTTTCGGGTACACACAGGTAATTTCAACGGTGTTAGCGAGATTCATTGGTGCATAACGCCATCTAGTAGTGCTCCGTAACAATATAAATTTTGCAACAGTTCAAGTAGACTAAGTAATTCGATACTTTTTGTATGAATAATTTCACTGTGTTATTTATTGTATTCATTTACAGTCTGCTGTCGGTTCCCGTTCGGCTCACCAGTTGTCTACTAGTTCATCTGTCTCTATCGGAAGTGACTCCTCTAATTTGTAAGTTGGGGAAATTCGGTAGACTTGATCAGGTAGAAGATATGATTTTAATTTATAAACCCGTTTAGAATTCCCATGTTTGGGATTACTATTAGATAGTTCTGTACTCTATATTATTTTTTCAAATAATATCTGGGCCCCCAAGACTATTTACCACCAAGGAATTTTAAACTGGTTACGTTATGGAGCATGTCCCTTACCTGACCAAGTCTCCCGGATATCCCTTATATCAGATTGCTCTTTTTTTTTAATTTGCAAATACTATCGATTTAATATACTTCGGTTGCTGGTCAGAGTCTAGCTTTGGAGTCTTCTATGACAATAGAGTCACCGTAATAAATGTAGATATTACACAACATCACATACATTGCTTAGATATCAAATAAGGTACTTAAACCACTATCCTTTTCAGACTATAGGCCTATTTTCAAACTACCATTCCTTTCGAAAGTCTTAGAACGGCTTATTCACAGTCAGCTGTCCACATTCCTTTTCAAACATCAAGTCTTAAACCCCTATCAATCCGGCTTCCGTGCGGGTCATAGCACAACCATTGCACTGGTAAATGTCACCGACGATATAAGGTCAGGTATGGAACATGGAAAAGTAACGGTTCTCTCATTACTCGATTTTAGCAACGCATTTAATACCGTTGACTTTGACATTCTGCTTGGCACATTACGCTCTATTAACATATCTCCAGCCGTAATTGACTGGTTTCGTAGTTACCTGTCTGGACGCCGTCAGCGGATACGCATTGAGGATACCTTTTCAACTTGGTGTGATATTTCTGCTGGGGTACCACAGGGTGGCGTTCTATCTCCATTACTTTTCGCTATATTTATCAATTCTATTTCACGCCAGTTAGTTTCATCCTACTACCTTTGATGATGATTGATGATTTACAAGTTTATTGCCAAGCTTGTCCTGACCAACTATCTTTTGCGATCAATGCTCTGAACCGTGACTTAGAGATAATTTGTGATTGGAGTAAGTCCTACGGCATAAAAGTAAATGTTTTGAAAACCCAAGCCATTATTGTTGGCAGTCCTGTAATGACAAATAAAATTAAGTGGTCATGTTTACCTGCAATAATGTTTGATGGTATCATTGTAGCCCCAAGTGACAGCGTACGAAATTTGGGTATAATCATAGACAAAAACCTGACATGGGGACCTCAGATCGAGCAAACGAGTCGTAAAATCTTTGCTGCAGCTGGCTTCTTGGAGAGGCTGCGTAACTTCTTACCAGTGGCCACTAAAATTGCGCTCGCACAATCCCTTCTTCTTCTAATTCTGGATTACTCTGATGTCAGCTATCTAGACTTAATTGAGGAGCAATTAAATAAACTTAAGAGACTTCAAAATTTTTGTATTAGATTCATACTTGGGTTGCGCAAATATGATCATATATCTGATTTTCGCACTAAGCTCAAGTGGTTGCCAATTCGTCTTCGTCGGATTGCGCATATTGTTTCCCTGCTTTACAGTATTCTGTTCAATCCTTTCTCTCCAACTTATCTTAAGGAACGCTTCAAGTTCCTTCGCGATTCACACTCTCGCGCGTTGAGATCATCAGAGAGCTTATAATTACAGATGCCGATGCATTCCACAAAATTCCTTGATAAGTCATTCGCAGTTCAGGCTGTTCGCTTGTGGAATGCATTGCCGGAAGAAATAATGCGCGCTCCATCACTGCACTGCTTTAAGGAGATGTTAAGAGAATATTATTTATCACTTCAAGTATAATACGCTATCGTTTTCATCCTACTTCTACTCTACACGTATACTTTTTTAGGTACTGTTATATTTATTATTGTATTATTATTATTTTATGTATATATGCATATTTATGTATGTATATTTATGTATGAGCTTGTGTGTATGTATGTATGTTTATATATGAAAGCATGTTTTCTCGCCATGTAAGACACCATCTACTGCCCATCTACTTAAGTAATAGTCCAGTCTAACCTGCGGTTGCCTGGAAGAAATTGCTTTTTAGCGATAAGGCCGCCGATTGTACCACTAAATTGTATCGATTGTCCTTTTGTTTAATTATGGTGTACAATAAAAGTATTCATTCATTCATTAAAGCACTTGTATTATGGAAATCTGAAACAATTAAGGTATCCCAACTCCCAAACACGAAACATTACAGAAACCGCCATTTTCAATACTGACCTAATCGGTATTGAAACTGGGACCTCAGAGGTACCCTTGAAACCGGCGTGCGAGCCACTCAGCTACGTAGGTCGTATGTGGTGAATGTAGCGGTATGTCATATACTTGGTTTTCAATATTATTCATCGTCAATGAATAACACGAGTAGCTCGGTGGCGTAGTGAATAAGCGCCGCGGCCCGCGATCGTTGTCGTTAAGCAACTTTCGCAAGGGTCGGTCACGGGATGGGTGACCAAAACATTATTATCTCGAGCTACTCCGTGCTTCGGAAGGCACGTTAAGCCGTTGGTCCTGGCTGCAGTCGTTAATACACTCCAATCCACATTGGGCCAGCGTGGAGGGTCATGGCCCATCTTCCTTAACCATCCATAAGGAAGGCCTCAGCCCCTGCAGTGGGGACGTAAAAGGGCTGGTGATGATGTGATAATGAATGAATAACACGTAGATATAATAAAAATTTAAGTTTCTACAATTTTTTTTCTAAAAGGGATATTTTAATAGCATACACATAACTAAATCAATAAATATATTAATTAGGAATGGACGCATTCTCATTATTTAAATCGAATTAGAAAGTGATTGTAAAAACAATTCTTTCGCATTTACTGTACCTCATCTAATATTATTTATTTATCTAATCCATTAACTTGAGTCGTGAAATAGCAACGAAAGTAACAAGCATTTCAAAGAATCGAATTGTCCCCGGTAGCATTCGTCTAGTTAACGAAAGATCGGTTCCAACACTTTTTCTAAGAGAAATTTTGTATTTGTTAGAAAATCTACACCTATGAGCGGACAGTCTGTTGAGATTTGGCCGGATCAACTGCACCAGCAGCAAACGTCGCCGCGTTCTAAAATACTTGGCAAACAAAAGAGGATAGTCGGTAATTTGATCTTAGATTAACTCGCATGTATTTATCAATGTTTAAAATTATTTAAAAGAAGGTAACATCTAATATACACCCTAGATGAGATATATTATTGTTATTTGTCGAGAAATTGATTATTCTGTGATGCTAGCTTTCTATGTTATGTTTACATACTGTAGGTATAATAAGTCAATATATTTTAGTGGGTAGTAGTACATCTCCTGATACCGCACCGTCGTCCAACGGTGAGGGACTGTCGGCACAACATCATCCGCCGCGACATCGCAGCCCTGGTAAGCATCTAATTATCTTCACGATTTTTATACCCAATGTAATTAAGGCATATTTTTTTTTTCCTTGCATGTTTTTTGTTTTATGTTGTTGTTAAATAAATCAAATGATCCGTAAAATTTTGTTATATTTTTTTGACAACTTTTTGTTCGTTTGGTTTTAGACAGAATACGAATATTGAAAAATTATATTTTAATTTATCGATTTAAAAATATATATTTTTAAACGTTACGAACTTTTAAACTAAACAATTTAATTATTATGTCAGATCCCTGTCCGATCCCTTATTGTGTAATTTAATGTCTATGCTGATGTGGAAATATTGGGATACAACAAAATTCAATTTATATGGCGTGTCGTGAATTTTCGTTTACATAGAACGGACATACCAATTATGATTGTTGAAAATGTTCATATTTCATTGTATATAATAGAAAAAAAAACATAAATTGACTCGGTGGCGTAGCGGATAAGAACCGTGGCCCGCGATCGTTTTCGTTAAGCAACTTTCGCAAGGTTCAAGCACAGGATGGGTGGCCAAAAATTATTATCTTGAACTGCTCCGTGCTTAAAAAGGTACGTTAAGCCGTTGGTTCCGGCTGTATTTGCTGTTGCAAATACCATCCAATCCGCATTGAGGAGACTCATGGTTCATCCTCCTTAACCATATATATACCATAAGGAAGGCCTGAGCCCCTGCAGTGGGGACGTAAAATGGCTGATGATGATGATGATTTTATCTAAACGAAACTTACACTAAAATAATAATAGTGCAGTGTTACTATCAATGTGAGGGTGTACCTGTGTATGTGTGTATGTGTTAGTGAAATGTTCTGGCGCGTACGCGTCCCCGGAGTCCCCGCTGTCCAAGATGGAGGTGGCGTGGAGCTGCGCCCCGCGCGCGGCCCCGCCCGCCGGCGCGCACGCCTTCCACATACCGCCGCCGGAGAGGTGCGCTCCGTACACTGTACCACTACTGCCATCACTATACACTACACGATATCACTATACACTACACAATAACACTATACACTACACAGTATGACTATACACTACACAATATTACTATACACTACACAATATCACTATACACTGTACATTATTACTATACACTACACAATATCACTATACACTGTACATTATTACTATCTCTACCAATATACACTACTACCATTATTCAGTTTATTATATGTGGTGGGTCTAATCGTTGAATTGAACCGATCTAGATCTACCTGGGCATATCACGATATGCCGCCATTTGTTGACTTAGGCGAAGAAGATCACGATAAGCCCGGTCAAAAGTTTGGCAGATTCTACGAAAGGAACGTTTTGTCTCAAGTTTCCCGATTTTTATTGTTTCAGTAGATAATTACTTTTATTTACTTACGTACACAGATGGGCGGTAGTAGAAAACCCAGGTCATTGACCTATCTCTGCTAACATAGTACTTTGGTCACCCTACGAAATAGATTGGCCTGAGTATAATCGGGGCTAATATATAATCGTGAAACGTTAAGCATTGGACGATATGGCGGATGATAGATTGCGAAATTAAAGACGGCGGCAAAATCGTGATATGCCCGAGCGGATCTCGATCGCCCCTATTTAACGATTAGACCACGTCATATGTACACCCGGCAATCGCTACCGATATACGATAGTACTATCACTATCACTATACACTACATCACTATACGGTATAACTATCACTTTACGTTAAAATCAGCCATTCCTGGTTCATTGACAAAATTCTTTTTAAAACAAAAATAAGATCATTTATGGTCTCTATTGCAGTCGAAAACTATCGATAATCCACTCTAACTCAGCGTTTCATCATTCACAACAAATTTCACTCACGAAAATATTCAAAAGGCGACATATGAACTCCTTTTCTTTAGCCTAGTTTATTTTTTTACTATTACAGATTATTACCGATCGGTCCCAAACCGAACAAAGAACAATATCCAGTTTTCAATGCATTAGTAGACAGAGTGAGAGAAGCTCTCAGCTTGCCAGCAGGTAAAATTGTCACCAGTTTCTATTCGAACATCTACCTACTAGTTTACTAGTTTAGTATTTATATAGTTGGGTCATTATAAAAAAACACATTTGACACATATAAATCTGAACTACATAGTGAGGCGTCCTTCTTAAAATTTTTGGTTAATTGAACGAATCGATGTGGTTCTCAAAGAAATGTTAATTTAATAAAGATATTGTAAGTCATGATTCTATAGGTTACAATACGTCCTTACTGTTCAAAAATGCAACGGGTCCACAGACATTACATTGTATCGGCATTTAGTTTGTTTAAAATTAAATAGATTTATTTTATTTAGAAAGGTTATTTAAAAACGTAAAATTGCTTTAGTTTTATATTATGACAATAAATATATTTTAATAACAAAGAAATTTACAATTGTACCGTTGCCTTAACTTTGATCATAATAATGTTTATTACATTACAAGGTTACTATATTACAATGTTATTTTGAAGTTTAGACTGAGAGATGTCAAATGTGGCCTATTATAATGACCCAACTGTAATTATTTTTATTTTTTCTGTTATAATATTTAGACTTTAAAATATGTTATTGAAGAAAGAACAAGGCATTTGTGGCTTTTATAAATTTCTATATAATTTGAAATCATCTCGTAAGGATAATCTCCATTATTTCATTAAATGGTAATACTTGCAGACGATTCAACAGACAAAACGGACTCGAGTAGATCAGAACAAGAACCTGTCATAACAGCTACGACTAGACCACAGGATCTTAATAAGAAATTGTCTTCTGAAGGCTCCAGGTTTGTATATACAAATATGTTATTGAAGGAATGTTTAATTAAAGAAGAAAAATAATAAAATAGTTTCTTTTAAATGCTATTCAATATCATTCATTCTAATAAGAAAGCGAGTGTTATATGTAATGACAAAGCCTTGTGGTCCTTGGTTTATTACACTTACTTTGCAAAGCCTTCGATGTCAAGGTATATAAATTCAAGAATAACAACTAGTACCAAAATCAGTATTAAATTGCTATTTTCAATGCTTAAGGCTGGTTCACACGTAATTAAGTAGATTTTAATTTAAAATGCAACTAAGCTCATAAGTCGTTACCTAAACTTTTACTTACTACTTATTATTTATTCGTGTGTTAACACATACTTAATCACTTAAAAATCTAATTAACTACTCTTACACAAAATTCGCTTGATATTCAGGTCACATACAATGACAGTATAGTGTCGGAATCCTAATTTAATATTAGCACAGGTTATGCTAGGTACTTTATTATCCTGGTGATGGATGTCAGGTCTCGTGGCGCGTCGCCCCGTCGTCTGGCGCGGCAGGCGGCCCAGCTGGGCTCCCCGCCGCATCAGCAGCCGCCCCAGCGGCCGCAGAGCACCGGTACACGTACTATAACAGTGATATGCAACTGTTCCATATACCTGCGACGAAGGATCGGTTGCGATCCACGGCAAATGTTACTCAATCAGATTGATTCGAGTGGCACGCGTGGCTCATTTACGAATAGGACTGTTAATCTGTCACCTTGGTTGGCGTTACGCTTTAACTTCGAAATGTAAGGTGTGCAAAAAAACAGACGTATCACCGCAGTATGATATAATGGACAACGGAACACTGACATTTGGAACCGACCCCGAAGTCATAAGTCAACGTTATCAGTGTTGCGACAAAAATTTGTCTACTTCATGTTCGGTAATAAAAAAAAAAGAGTATGAAAGACCAATTTAGAGAAATATATATAACTAAATTCTTGATATTTTAAAAGTGATATGGTACCAAAAAATATATAGCGAACTTATTTTCTTTGCTGTCAGTACTATAATGACGGCTAACAATTAAGTTGACCTCGTTAACCATACATGACGTTAGTTCATATCTGTGTCTAAAAAAGTCTGTTTAATAACATCTCTATTTACTTGCTGTAGAGAGCGGCGGGGAGGGCGCGGAGAGTGGCGAGGGCGGTGGGGAGGGGGAGGGAGAGGGAGATGGCGAGGGCGGGTGGTGGGAGGAGGGGGGCGTGAACGCGCACGCCATGCCCGGGCCACGCGCTGACGCCGCGCTCTGCTACAGATGTAACGTGCATAATTTATTATAATTGTCCTATTTTGCGTTCACAATGGTATACATATTGCTGTATAGTCACTCCAAAAAAAACTTTAGTCACTGCCCTGCGATTCTATAAAAATCTCCCAACCAAATCAGAACATTCTTCGTATAAAAATAATATCCATTTTTGTATAAAAATACAAAACAAAATTGATTGAATTTACGTATCTCAGATATTCTATTTAAATGTCACTTCGAAACTCACTTCACTTGTGCCACGAAACGTAATTGCCAATTCAAGATTGAGCGGATGCCGCTTTTTGATGAGAATTCGGACACCTGAGTGAATTCCATCACCAGCCCTTTTACGTCCCCAATACAGGGGCTCAGGCCTTCCTTATGGATGGTTAAGGAGGATGGGCCATGACCCTCCACGCTGGCCCAATGCGGATTGGAGGGTATTAACGACTGCAAATGCAGCCGGGACCAACGGCTTAACGTGCCTTCCGAAGCACGGAGTAGCTCGAGATAATAATTTTTTGGTCACCCATCCCGTGACCGACCCTTGCGAAAGTTGCTTAACGACAACGATCGCGGGCCGCGGCGCTTATCCACTACGCCACCGAGCTGAGTGAATTCGAATTCGGATTTTTACAGAATCGCAGGGCTGGTGCCAATATCATTTCGGGCACTCGTTACTAATGAATGTTTAATGAACGTTAGAGTATTCGTTTTTATTATCGTATAACACGTAAGTACACGTTGCAGGCGCCGAGTGCGGCGGCGCGGTGGAGCAGTACAGCGACGAGGAGCTGGGCCTGTGCGTGATCGCGCTCGCCACGTTCGTGCACCGCGAGCCGGCCGCCGCCGCGCCGCTGCTGCCCGCGCTGCTGCACGCCGTCAGCAGGTACGCGTGCACGTGCACGTGCGACGGGTTCCATGCTCAGGCGATTTAATAAAAGGCTGACTGAGCTTGAAATTTGATTTATTTGAATCGTATCATTACCTAAATTAATATAATTGAAATAGGTAAATAGAACAAATACATACCCCGTTTCTGGGTATCAAGATAAAACTTGATAGATATTTCTCGAAGATATACTTTAAGATTTGCATTTTCTTATGTAAGTTATAATAACTTAATTATTATTAAATTTCTATGATTATGTTATCATGGTCTCACCAGATGATTTTTTTACGAACTGACATTCATAAAGAGAATATTGGATTATTCAAAATTTCAAATTACGAAAGGTGAATAATAAAAAGAAATGATGTTGAATATCAAAGATAAAACGTTTGCATGCGGATACCTGGGACGAAATAAACGATGGTACAACTGACTATACTACTACTAATTTTCTTAATAGAATTTCATATTACGTACATCTAATTTCAGTAATTCATATTCTGTAATCAGATGCGTTGTTTTTAGTACTCGACGTTTGAAAAACGGTGGGTCTTGTAAGCACGTTGTTTGAGATACGGAAGTTATTTTCGCCATTCATACGATGCGTGACCGAATATTTACGATACAATTTTCTTTGTGCTTCGGAAGGTATGTTGAATCAATGATCTCGCCTATATCGGCAACTGTTAACACTCAAAAATTCACACTAGGCTAAGTTAACTAAACCAATCAATCAATTCAATCACTAATAGTCCTTACAATAATAAGTTCAACATGAGTTATAAGAATAAAATTAAATGGTTCACTTAATATATCAATTAAATAGTTTGTTATAAACATTTCGTAGGCTAGGAGGCTTAATAAATCTAGATTACATTCGTTCCTAGGGTGGTCCAATTAGGCAACTATTCGTGGCAAGCGGATACCAACATCCGTCTGCCTGGCAGCGCTGTATTCGTAGCGCATCAGTTCTTACGCTGCGTTCTTCATCAGCTCGCACCAAACAACGTATTCCTACAGATATTTTTGCTACGGACGCCAGGTAATATCCGTTTTTTCAAGTAGGTAATATGCGTTATTTTAGGTTCTTCAATCTATAATTCTTATTATAGATTGAAGAACCTAAAATGAAGCAGTATTTGACTTTTAGAATATGTTGTCATAGTATGGATATGCCTGCGGTGTGATGAAATATAAATTGTAACTTATTTATTGTTAGAAAGCTCCATAACGAATTCAGTATGGTGTATTTCATTACAAAATTTGTTCTATAAATATGGCCGCCATTATTAAGTATTTCCCTTTGCGGTTGGTGTAAAAAACACAATAAGGATATGAATAAATTAAGAAAAGCGAAACATGTAATCATATTTTTGTCGGTTACAGCTTCGCTTTTTAAAGTCGTTTTTTATGAGCGTTAGAACAAGTTACAAAATGATTTTTTTTTATTTTAACTAAATTTGTTACGATTAACTTACATGAACAACGAAATATATATATAAAAAAAAATAGTTATTTTATTTATTTAGGAAAACGAACAGTCGCAATTTCTATACAATCAAACCTTATTTAACTTATAGACCTGTCAGTAACATATATATTTTTTAAATAGATACTTATGTAGTTTTTATCGATACAGTAGTTTGAATGTGTTTAAATTATTTTCGATAACAGAGAAACAGCGTGCAATGTTCTTCAAGAGCATAGCACAGGCGTTCGTCGACTTCAACGAGCTGTACCCTTGCGGCCCTCTCCAGCTGGTCGTGGAACATCTCAACTCCAAGAAGACGTTGCCTATTGATGTAAGTATAATAATAACTATAAATTGGCTATTTAATGTTATTTATGCCGATAGAGAATCACATTCAGCACGCTAGGCTACGACAAAAGGCCATTTTTTTTTCATAGGAGGTGCAACTATGGCGTTGTCGTCGTGCTGCTGTGTTATTATAGTTTAAAATTGAGTCCTCTAATTTATTGTCTCAAATTTTAACACTAATAATCGCACAAGAAGACCAAAATTTGTTTACACTTAATGTGTATCTTAATAATAGTTAATAATCATAATTATATAAAATATCTAGAATGTGCCGCCGATATAATGAACTCATTGGTAATGGATCGGATATTGATATTTTCAACTTTAACACATTATCTATATACTTAAATAACATGTTTTTGTTTAATTTGTGTTTGCAGTATGAACATGTAAAGGGTCGCATCCTTGATAACTGTAAAATATACTTTTAATTTCTTAAATAAATGTTGTTATATTGTACGGTAGCAAATAACGGTGATAGCGGGCAACATCGCCATGTACCTGGAGTGCCTGGCGCCGGAAGCGCTGGGCCCGGCGAGCGCGTGCGCGCCGCTGCTGCAGCAGCTGGACGTGCTGCTGCGGGCCACGGCGCTGCAGCTGCCGCAGCTGGACGACGTGCAGCCGCTGCTGCGCGCCGCCGCCGCCGTGCTGCGTCTGCCCGCCGCCGCGCAGCACAAGGTACTACAGATCCCGATGGTAGATCAAAGAGTCATGTCCACTTTTATACATTTATTGACCTGTGACATGTTTTTATAGGTCGCGTCTACTTACTATTAGTGATAATTTAAATTAGTTTTTGTTTAAAATAGAATATCTTAATATCTTTTCGTCTGAAGGTTTTAATTTCTAAATAATGTTTTGATCAGCTGTCAAAACTCGAGATAACTGTGGAAGTACTTTTAACTAATCAAAACTTTTTTAAGTTAGACTCGTAAATATAGAATTAAATCTAAATGTAGTTGTTAATGAGCACTTTTTTTTCATATAACGAAAGAATATTTTTTCCCATTACATGTAACGAAACGTAGCAAACCGCCATTGGGTCCGAATCACATTGCAGTAGCCTAGCAAACAGTCATTTTAGGATTCGAAACGCATTCGGGTATTTAAAATAATTATAAGCTTCACTTTATTTTAAGATTTAATTTCCTGATATGAAACAAGTAAAAAATAAGCCACATTTTGAGATCTGTCATATTACTAGATGCGTTAATATTTTTTTAGGTCAAAATTGGACGTGATCCTTAAGTATTACAATTTCGTGAAGGAAAAAAGAGCTATTGAGTTAAATTTTATGTCAATATTATTCAGTGATGTCTTACCTAAAATCGTAATTTCAAATTTATTGCGAATAAAGTTTAAATGAATAAAAAAAAAATTTATAACAAATCACATTTCATTCTTACTAGAGCATACTGGAGCCCATTTCGAAGATTATCAGCTACGGTATCCAAAACTTCGTGGTGAAGTTGTCCGTGATATCTGAATTGTCCGTGGTGTGTATGCGGGCGTTCAGCCGCGACAGGGACAAGCTCCTGGTGTGTCGCGTGCTCGTGTACGAGCTCGTGCAAGCGTTGCGTACCAAGAGCACCGTGCCTGATGATAACCTGTTCATACTCATACAGTATGTGCTGCAAGGTCAGTACTGTCATAAGCATAACAAAAGGAAAATATGATTTATTTAAATAGATTCTGGATTCTGTTTTTTTTTTAATTATTATGAGATTTAGGAAAACGTACCAACGTCTTCTCTATCTTCTTTTGAGATACAATTGCATTTAGGGGGCGTGTATACTGAGAATCATTTTTCAGACAGTATTTTGGCTTTATACCGCTTCTCAAATTTCATCGCAATTAGTCCAGCAGCGATTAGTTTAGTTAAAACTGCGTTTCAAAGCGAATTTTTCTAAGTCGTCGAGTAAGTGGTTTTACTTCATGTTGAATTTCGTTAATCGTCTGATCTAAGCCAATAATAGTTTAATTACACAAAGTTTCTTTAGTGCCTAGCCTAGGATATAATATCAAAGTGTACATATTAGGGCACGGGTGCACGTTGGTACTGCCGCCGCAACTGCACACGGGGGAATTGCTGTCCGGGGGCGCGGGGGCGGGCGCGGGGGCGGCGGGGGGCGCGGGGGAGGCGCGCGAGCTGGGCAGCGGCGCGGTGGACTGCATGCGCCCGCACCTGCCGGACATGCTCGACCTGCTGCAGGACCCGCATCTGCTTAACAAGATCAAGGTAAGGGAAGGATAACTAGGACCAAGGGCTTAATGTGGCTTCTAACGCAACAACAAACTCAGGATATAACTTGTACGAATTAACTTCACATCCGAGGGCCATATCTATTTGTTCTAGAACAAAAATTCGGAAAATTTCGAATCATTATAATTTTGTTAAAACCATATTCGAGAAGATTATCTGAGCTTCAGAGACAGTGTCTGGTACTACCTCGTTGTCATCATAAATTATTAAAAGAAAAGTTTTTGGAGTCGTTTTAGCATTCACCATAGATGAAATTTCGTTTTTGGAGAAATAGAATAGTCGTGTCAATTCGTTTGAATAGTAATTTTTTTTTTTGGTGACTGGTCTATACGAAAGTTGCTTAACTCTGCCTTGTAGTCCGAAAGCGATAACCATTTCCATCAAGGATTTTCTTCAAATTTTGCTCCCCTTATGAATACACTTTATTGCAATAAAAACAGACATAAAACAAATAGATATATAAATATACATGCTAAAGCAATTATATTGCAATTTTCCTACTTCTCTCGAGTGTTAAAAAATCACAATCTAGGTTATTTTTTTGTAAAACACAGTAGTATTTTAGTGTATCAACTCTTTCAATGCATGAACGAATTAGATGTGGCAGACGGACGGACAGACAGTCACGCGAGTGATCTTATAAGGGTTCTTCTTTCATTTTTATGGTATGATATTGTTACTCGAAAACATTAGTCCTTCTAGGATTTTAAACTAAACCGGTCCTTACTATTGTCATACAGGGTTCAGTTTCCAAGTCCATAGTGAACCGTAACCTGATCTGTTTGAATGAGGACACTCTAGGCGCGATAGTCAAGGGTGGTATAGCACAGTACGTTGCTATGGAACTGGCATTGGAACACAGCCGCGGTAGACAAGACAGGCCCGTTCACAGACATATGCCCTGGCTGTCATCTTCTATACCAGGGTGAGTTAAACGTTCACGAAAAGACTCACTGACTGACGAATCATATCTTGTAGGACTTGATGTGGATAATACTTGAAATTCAACATACAGGTCATATCCGGCGAAACATGCTGTCGAATTGGCAGGAATGTATATTTTAATCGTTTTTATTGTATACGCAAATATGCCATAAGTTAAGAAGAAGAAGATTAAGGTTATTTCGAGATTTGACTGTAGACTGAAAAGTTTAGAAGAAGGAGGTTTAATTATACAAAATCTAAAAATATAGAATTTAATTAATTAATGATAAATGGTTTTTTTATTTACATAAGTATGTATATAGGTATTATATATGTATTATATTTTATATGATAATATTTATTATATTATAGTATATGTAGGTAAATTATTTATTTATTTATTTATTAGGACATCCAATGGTTGTTACATTAAATGAATTATTAGAATATAATCGCTATAACATAACTAAATGCACAACATTCTAAGGTGTCACAACATGCACTGAAAAGCAGCACTTGATACTTATACTAAATAAAATCTAAATAAATTATAGTTCAACATAACAACAAATTACAGTACAAAAAAAGAAAAAGAAAATAAAAATATCCCACAACTTGCATCAATCAATCAAGGTTTCAGCAACAGTAAAGCTGCTTTCTTAAAACTGGCCAGACTATCTTTGAAGATATCCAACCCTTTACTAATAGCGTTAAATGCTTTCGGCAGTCTACATGCGGCAGCGAATAATTTTAAGTTGGTTCGAGTAGTTGGCTGATGCAGCAGACCAAGTGCGCGCCGAGGCACACGACGCGGAACTCGTATGTTAAAAATCCGCAGCAAGGGTGGACAATCAAATTCGCTTCTTAGTACCTTATAAAGAAACGTCAGGTCATGCAACTGTCTACGGATCAAAAGGCTATCCATTTTAAAGTAATCTAGTCTATCGGTGTATGAGCGGAGTCGCTTATGTAGTCCACACGAGAAGGAAAGGTGCCCGAGAAACCGTTTCTGTATCCGTTCCAATCTAAGTTGATGTATATTATATTGAGGTGACCAGACAACGCTGCAATACTCGATATTACTACGAACATAAGCATAAAAAAACAACCCTTTTTGTATGTGGCCTTCGGAATGACCTACTGTTACGAATGATGAAACCAAGCATTTTAGAGGATTTCTTGATGATATGTTCTATATGAGATAAAAAAGTCAGCTTGGAATCGAAAAATACACCTAAGTCCTTAACTATAGATTCCTTTCGAAGCTCTGATCCGTTAATGCAATATTGGTATCTGATTGGGGTATTACTGCGCGAGAAAGTAATCGTTTGGCATTTATCAGTATTTAGAGTCATTTTGTTGACTGAACACCAATCAGTAATAGCATCAATGTCTTTCTGAATAAGATTGCAATCTGCTGGACATTTAATAGGTTTGCAAAGCTTTAAGTCATCAGCGAAAAGGTAAGGACTACTGTGTTTGATGCATGTTATTATGTCATTTATGAATACATTAAATAACCAGGGTCCCAAGATAGAACCTTGGGGTACACCTGATGCTGTTAAATACCTACAAGAATTGTATCCTTTAACCACTACATATTGTATTCTTTCAACCAAGTAAGACCCAAACCATTCCAAAAGCGTACCAGATATACCAATCGAGGCCAATTAACGCAATAGCACCTCATGGTTCACTCTATCAAATGCTTTGGCGAAGTCCATGTATACTGCATCAACCTGGACACCCGAATCAACTGCATTTACAAGTTCATTATGATAGGTTACTAGGTTAGTGCTTGTTGATCGGGATTTAATGAACCCATGTTGCTCATTAACAAAAATCTGATCGGTATGACGCTTCAGGAAAGGATAGATAAGTGCCTCAAACGATTTAGCAAAGGTTGATAAGATGGAAATCGGTCTATAGTTTTTTATTTCCTCTCTGTTACCACTTTTATGAATTGGAATCACTTTGGCTATCTTCCATACTGTTGGAAATTTCCCAGTTATAAGTGATCTGTTCATAATCATAAATAGTGGATAGCCTAAGGAGGAAGCGCATCTGGAAATAAAAAATGGAGTTATGTCATCAGGACCCGCTCCTTTACGAATATCCAGTCCTTTTAAGTATTTTATGACGCTATCATGTGTAATGAAGAGGTTCCCTAAATAATCACACTTGCAGCCTGTATCGATCAATATGGTATTTTGATTGGGTGAGTTGTCAAATGTTGACGAAAAATATGCCGCAAACAAATTGCAAATGTTTTGGCCATCGGATACATTTTTGCCATATAAAATCATGTTTTGAGGGAGCTGAACCAAATTACTGCGTTTATTTTTAAGATAGGAGAAAAAACATTTAGGATTGATTTCAATACTATCCTCCGTTTTACTAATATAATCATTGTAGCATGTTCTAGCCAATGATTTACATCTTTTGTTCAAGATATGCAACGATATTTGATCTAATGGATTTTTGAAAACTCTAAACTTGTGAAGCAATTTATTCCTTTCTTTGGTGATATCTATTAATTGTTTGGTAAACCATGGAGGGTATCTTCCCTTCCTTACTCTGACTTTAGGTACATGAGAGTTAATAATTTTGTTTAAAATGCTGTGGAATAACGTGACCATATCATCAACATCTGTGAACTGAGCAAACTCACTGGGCCAGTCAATTTTATCCAGCTCAGCCTTAACACTAACATAATCTGCCTTATAATAGTTAAGTTTAAATACATTGTTATATTTCAAGACCAATGCGTCTTTGACTTCAATTGATATATCAAGTGGAGGATGATGTGGGTCGATGTTGACTAGTGCATAAGTTGAAGGTTTAACGCTTATAAACGAAACATTGCTCAAAGCTAAATCTAAGATTCTCCCATTGTGGTTACTTATGTTGTTATATTGTGTTAGATTGTTGATATTATTATAATTAAGTATATAACAATTGTCAATTATGTATATTTATAAATTGTTTATTTGTACACCATCCACTACCCCATCATTAGGTCTTTTATATTTAACTCCATCCCAAGGTTGCCTGGAAGAAATCACTTTTAGTGATAAGGCCGCCAATTGTACGTCTCCTTTTTTTGTCATATAAGTGTATATTGTCTTTGTGTGTGTAATAAAGAATATTCTATCTATCTATTCTAATATCTTCCCTTATTGGTAGTTAACCAATAGTAGCACATTTGTTTTAAAAGATCATGTGACATTATGGCGTCTAAACTTTTCCTGATTTTTATTTTAAATTGAGGCATCGAATTAAAAATTAATGTTCGTTTTCATTAAACTAAGGAGTCGCCCAAATCCGACGCCTAAATAAATATTTGGGCATAGTCTAAGGTGAAAATTCGTTTCACCAATGACAAGGAGCCTACTAACGACTTTGGGCAACGTTTGAAGTTAGGACATGCATTGTGCGGCGCCTAGTGCTGGGCATTTGCGTAATGTAATATATATTGACTCTTTGGCCATAATTAATGTGTCAAGGGATAAAATCAATTTAAGTTGGAATCAAGGAGTTTATATATTTGAATTAAGATATAAACAATGAGATTGTTCGAATTTTCTTACATATTGACATTGATGAACTAGGCCTTTGTGTAGATACAAGACCATGTATTATTTTTATTACCTTAAAATATATAGTGTTGTTATTGTATCTTTACGTATAAAGGCGACTAACGTAACATGAAATTGTGTAAACACAAAAAGCCATACATTAAAAAAAAGAAGACGAAAAGTATGCAAATTCATAGACAAACTTTGTTTACTTAAGCAAATGTTTAGTACGGCATTACTTAATGCTACAGGTTTAGTGAAACAAAAAATCTGCTATAACTATTCTTAATATTAAATGATTTCTAGTTAAGCTTCGCCTTGTTTTAGGTTAGTGATAATGGGTACAAATAAGTTTTTCAAAAATGGGTGTATTACAAAATTGGTATTCGATTTATTCATAACAATAAAGTAAAAATATATATATAGCGTTTTACTCCCGGTTTCAATTACCCGGTTTCGGTTATTTGTCAAATTTGCCTACCGGCCATTTTCCGTCGGTTATCGTAAAATATTTATAAATAACACGTTTTCAATTGTTCATTGATACAAAAGTAACAGTTTTCCATTAAAAAAATAATATTGTAGAAGAGATTATTGCGTTTTGAAGTTCCAATTAGAAGAATTTAAGTTGTAACCATGCCAATGTTTGTACCTTTAAGGACTCATACTACCAATTAATTATTGCTCCAGATGCTTTCTACAATATGTTTCAGTTGAAAAACTTGATGATTTACCTCTATATAATCATGAAAAACCTTGTTCTGATGAAACTAAATTTGCCACCTACTTGTACCAAACTTATACACGTTACATTAGTTTTTACCCTTTATTTTTTATTAAACACTGATATGGATTAAATTCTCGATAAAACCCAATTTGGATATAACATATTTATTTTACAAATAAAAAACAATTCATAAAAGACTACACAATTTTTACATTATTACATTGCATTTTTCTACGTTTGTTTTACGATTTGATACAATTATTCCACTTTTTCTAAGATTCATTTATCATCCTATGTCAATGGGTCACAATTGTTCACTATCAATTTCATTAATTTTATCTTGCAAATTCATTATGTATAGTAATATATACAAATCACTTTATACAATCAAAAATTTAAGAAAATCAAAGAACTCTATATAAAATTCCCGCTAAGCTTCTACGGAACATAAATCAATTTTACTTTTTGGCATAATTAAAGACAAAGGGATATAGACATACAACCTAGACTAGGGTGATACTATTCACATTGAGGTTCACTTGGACGTTTCAATACTTTGTTATGGAGCAAAAATTGAAATATATTAGAAAATGGTGAGGTTCGTAAGAGTGACACGTTCGCGTTCTTGTACCTACTAAATTGACAAAACACTGTTCATACCCATGCATCATACCATTTCAATGAACTATGTATTGCTCACGTTTATTTATATTCCGAAATTTAATTCGAGATAAAAAGGTTATATAAACAAATGTTCTTATTTCAGAGGTTGCAAACATTTTCAAATTATAATTTTATTTTTGAAAAAAATAATATGGATATAATATGTATAGTCTTATTCGACTTTAACGAAAAAGAAGGTGTCTGATTCAAGTGTAACTAATTCTGTATAACAATGTGGTGATACAAATATAAGATTTGTTGACATTAGCCTATAGGAATTTCATTTCTTTTTCAATTTTAAGTACTATGAATTGTAAATCAATATCGGATAAAATACTTGTACAGTAGTCATCAAGTCATCAAGTTTTTCAAAAGAAACATATTGTAGAAAGCATCTGGAGCAATAATTAATTGGTAGTATGAGCCCTTAAAGGTACAAACATTGGCATGGTTACAACTTATGTAAGTTCTTCTAATTGGAACCACAAAACACATCAAGCTCTTCTACAATATTATTTTTAATGAAAAGTTGTTACTTTTCTATTAATTAACAAGGTAAAACGTGTAATTTATAAATATTTTTACGATAAATCATACTAAATAAAAAAGTTTAATTCGATGAGCCAAATGTTTCGAATCGCTGTTTCTTGGCTGCATCATAAGATATTTCCATCCCATTTTCATCTAAAAAAATTGATTTTTAGTTCAAGTTCAAAAATTACTAAAAATTTATAAAGTGGTAATCTAAACTATTTGTTGTAAAGCTAACTGTTTTGTTTACATCAGAATTCCATTTCAGACGATAATTTGTTTCACAAAATATCGCCATTTTTAGGAACCTAAAATACAATAAATAAGTCATAATAATTTCAAAACAAATTTCAAATTTAGTGTAGGTACGCAGTCAGTTCACTTCTTTCCTATTGATTACTCTGTCTTCCTTCTTACGATTTTGATTTTGTCCAAGAAATTATTAAATGTTAAAGACTAATAGTTCACTATGATCATAATATTACCTAAGACAAGGCTGTATGGAAAGATCCCTTTTTCTTGAATTATATGATTACAATTAAAAAATGAAATACCGACAACCGTTCGTAGTTGGTAGGCGCCTACCAATGATTGTGAAACGCAAAAACGAATGGTTGTCGGTAGCTCAAAAAACGGTCGGTAGCTGCTACCGATGGTTGTCGGTATATTATTGAAACCGGGGGTTAGTGTGTAGTTGGTATACATATTGTTGTGTTGTAGATCTCGTGACATATGCGAGGTGGTGGGTCGCGTGCGACTGGTGTCGTGGCTGGTGATGGGCGCGCTGTGCAACGCGCGCGGGCCCCTGCCGCTGCACCAGCCCGTGCCGCAGGACGCCTCCTGCCACATCACCGACCATATACAGGTCGCCTGTGCACCTGCCACACACATATATATACACTTCCCATGCACATATATACACCTCCCATGCATACATATGCAGCCTTCACACATATATACACTTCCCATGCACATGTACATAAGTCTCACACATATACACAAATCTCATACATATACACGTATATACATTGGTGAATACATCGAACTTAGGGAACAGCGGCCAAAAAGCTGCGCATCTTAAACAAGATAACTTCACACCGGGACAGCTTTTGACTCTATATAAAGCGCAAGTCTTGTCGATATGAAGTACTACAGTCACTTGTGGAGTGGATCAGCTAAGTATCAGTTTTACAGTGCCAAGAGAGTCATTGGCGAAGAAAAACTAGTCGAATCCAAGCTGTACAGACAGGCCATCGCCGTAATGTTGCCTGCCTGTCTTGTATAGAATGTACTAGGAAGAGTGTGTCCAAGAGTTGTATGAGCTCATCCCGCCTGCACCGTTTTTTTACCATACTCATTTAATAGATATTCCAAGATGCCGCAAAAGAGCTTTTCTTCATCCTTTTCACTGCGCACCTTAAGGAGTGGAGCTTCCTGCCGGAGTCTGTTTCCCCGAGTGCATATAACCAAGACTTATTTAGGCAAGAGTGAATAGGTTCCTTCTGGGCAAGCTCGTCACACCGTAGGTCGATGAGGAAGTATACACTAAAAAAGCACCTCCACTAGATGGCGACTCTAGCAAAAGTTGATATTTGCAGGAAACGAATGAACCAAAGACAGTGATTTCCGTTCCTTTTAAGTAACTTCAAAAAAAACTGAAATTTGAAAAGTTCGAAACTTAGATATCAATACAAATACGAAAAAGTATCCTTAAAATAATCATTAACTTTATAATAGCCTTTACGCATAAGTATGTTCTTTACATGAATTTTTAATTTATTTATGGGTCAACTACATTTTGTGGAACTTTATTGAACATAGCAATGCATTTACCCAGAAATGATCCTCTGGTTTTCTGAAGTCTGAAGCTTGGAACGGCAAGTTTATTTTTATTTCTTGTGTTAAGATTATGAACACTACTTTTTTTGTGAAGGAATCGTAATGTTTTATTGAAAAGCAACAGTCAAAATATTTATTTCTTTAAATATTTCTCTGAGAGATTCTCTAGACCGTAAATTATATATAGCGCGGACAGCTCTCTTTTGTAAAATAAAAATATCTTCAATGCTAGCCGTAGAACCCCACAATATTGTTGTGACCATACGTCATTACACTATGAAAATAACTAAATTATACAAATCTTGCCGTTTCAACATTTGTCAAGAGTTTAATTTTCCTTATAGCAAATGCTGCAGAACTCAGTCTACTTGACAAATTATCAATATGAGGATCCCACTGCAGTCGGGAATCTAGTGTGATACCAAGGAACTTTGTCGATTCCACCAACTCAACTTATTCACTATTTACATTTATAAGTGTATTAACATGCCTCACATTAGGTAATGCAAACTTTATTCATTTTGTTTTATTTGATTTAAGAACATTGTCGAGAGCATCATTTACATCGTCAAAATAATAATTACCCCTCTTAACTTTAAACACTAAAGAGGTGTCATCAGCAAATAACACTGTCTCGCACAAATTCTTTGTAAAGTGAGGAAGTTCATTCATGTAAATTAGAAAAAGCAATGGTCCTAATTTCGATCCCTGAGGGACGCCCATAGTAATGGGTGCCCCTGCAGAAATTGCTTCATTAATTACTACTTTTTGAATTCTAGCAGAAAGATACGATTTTATTAGATTAAGTGAATTTTTCGTCACACCATAATGCTCTTATTTCCCCAACAGTGTTTCATGACTAACGCAGTCGAATGCTTTTGACAGATCGCAAAAAATGCCGATAGCATCTTGTTTATTCTCCCAAGCATCATAGATATGTCTCAAAATATACTTCAATATTAATGGACATAGTACAATACTTATATAACACTAAACTCGACAAATTGTTTTTTAGACTATAATGGCATCTTATGTGGAACAATCGAAACCCACTGGGCAGCGGATGAACGCTCTATTCCATGCCTTCATTCTTTGTCAACTGTGGACTCTTTACCTCGAAGAGCTGGCGGGTAGTACTGCACCCAGCAGTGAACCTCATAACACCACCGTTTGCATTCTACTAGAATTCTGGTGCAAGCTAGTGCCGGCTATGCTGCAAGTCACCAAACATTCTAAATTGGTAAGTTTCCTTTTAAACTTCCATAGTAATTTACATTAGAATGATACTTTCGTATGGTATTGCTATCATGTACCTTATATTTATCAAGTCCCCGGTATTTTGGCACTGTTGCAAGCGCCATGATCACGGAGAAACTAAAGTTTTGTGGGTGGATCTAACTGTGTAATATGTATCGTTGTACTGTATATATCTATACATCGATCTTTTGAGTCCTTGGTGGACTTGGTGGACGGACGACCGCCCACAAAGTCCACCTACTGACTAATAAAAATAGATTAAGAATCGTCCAAGTATATTGAAAGTAAATAATAATTAATTTAAGTACTTTTTAAAAAAGTCTCGTAATATTTTAACTGCAATTGTTTAATGAGTCACACCAATGATTTTTGATCAGCATATCTTAAAAGTAGGTAACTTGAGAAAAAAAAAACACCTATCTCCAAATATGACCAAGACATTAAATGTTAAAGTACGGCCTGCGCGGCGAATCCGGCGAAGCGACCATACTAACGTGTGACGTCACTTCTCGACACTGCCAGTCGGTACTTGCATTCTCGCGGTTTCGCTATAAAATAGTTTTTTTAAACCACCACTTAACAAATAAATTATCCATAACATAAACACATCGCTTCACCCGCAGTCGAGCCTGAATGACGTGTCGTGGCGACGTGACGTCATCGCATAGCGCGCGAAGAAACGCAAATTTAAAAAAAGCTGTAAAAGTTTACAACGCTGTAACGTCAGTAATCCTGGCCCGATTTCGATGAAACAAAAACTATTGTTATTTGCATGATTTTTTAAAGTAATATTTTGATGTGCTGGGGTGACTCATTTTTTTATTCATGTTAAATGCTTTATGAAATCCGCCGACTTTTTTTTTACATAGTAACGCTTCCTTTATTAAGAATCACATCTTATTCCCCTTGTTTTACTGCAAAAGCACTATTTATCTATCCATGTATCTGTATCGTTCTTTAATTCATCACCGATGACAGTGTTAATATTTTCTATACTATAGAAATATTCATTGTAAATTTTGTTCCCCAGCTGGCAGAGACAGTGAATCTCCATTTCCTAAGTCTCTTGGAATCGCTATTGGAATGCAATTCTACAGTGTTAAACAAATTGCTGCCTCTTTGGACACCCATCTTGTATTCACCACTATTTAATGTAGGTAGTTAAGTCATATTATTTACATTTTAGATGTTAGTTTTATGAATAAAGTTGTGAAGTTCATATCGCCCTTATTAAATAAAGTGGTATTTAATTTCTGTTGGTCAACTCTTTAAGTACAAATCGGTTGTAGCTAATGGACGGACAGACAGACACACGAGTGATCGTATAAGGGTTCTGTTTTCACTTGTGAAATAAGGGAAACTGAGAGAAAAATGGCTAAAATAACCCTATTCCCTTATAAAATTGTTAGTGTCAGCTGCAGTGCTGTTCTGTAAACAATTCAGCGTCGGGCCAAGCGTTGTCTACTTTAAAATATGGACTAAAGGTTCGATACCTCACTCAACGTCGAATTCGTGATTTTATATAGTGTATTATCTACGTTGATAGATGCCCCGACACGTGGCACAGCGTCTGGATGTATGTCGGGACGTGAAACCCGAAGCGGTGCGCACGTACGCGACGGCGGGGGGCGCCCCACACGCAGTGGGGGCGGCGGGCGCGGGGCCGGGGGGCGGTGCAGGGGGCGGGGGCGGGTGCGGGGGCGCGGCCAGCGGGGTGACGGGCGGCACTGCGGCGCGCGCGCACCGGCGCCTGCACCGCCTGCTGGCCAAGATGGCGCAGCTGGAGTTGCAACCTCACACCTTCTACTTTATATAAATTGTTTGGAAATAAAAAATACCCATTTAATAGAATCAGTCGTCATATTTCACAAGTCCATTGCTATAACTGCGAAAATATGATGTCTAGCAATTAACTTTGCTTCTGGAAAATACTTTTTTTTCCACATTCGCAATTTTCTTATTTACAGAATATTAAAAAAAGACATTTTGTTATTAAAGTCGTTACATAACAGCCGTTACATAACATAACAGCCATAACATAATCAGTTCTAATACGAACAATTTAACAATCGTATTAGATTTAAAATATTTTATAACTTATTCCAAGCCTAACGAAAATCAGAATCACAAGACTGAAATTTATTGATTTTCCAGTATAAGGTGCACTTTACAAAAGATGACTGTGATTGTTATATTGACTCTATTATTGAAATGTTTACTTATTTCGTTAGATTAAAATTAAACGATTAAATTAAATGTATCAGTTGTATTATGATATTCAAAAAGCGGTTAACTTAGTACCTATTCATTAGTGTTCGCGATATCATTCTTACAAGTAACTTGGCTCATAAATAATGTCAGGCGTTATCATAGTATCCATTTAAATAAACAAAACTTTGAAAGAAAACACAAATAATTAATAACTGAAGTTGAACAAAATCACACGAAAAAAAAAAATGTAAAAGACAACATGTTTTCTACCCCCATCCCGGGAGGACGTATTATGATTTAAAATGTATTGTTAAGAAAAAAATGCCAAAAATATAAATTAATGCCAATAAAATGTTTTACAATTGAACTATGAATTTTTGAAATTGAAAATGAACTGATTGAATTATTAAATTATGTGGCAAATTATTGGTGTTAAAAATATAATTATAATTAATATTTATTATTAATTGTGCAGAAATGACAATTACTATAAATAATAATAGGGTATTTTGCACTTTTTCGAAAACTATTTTAAATGGTTGTTTGATACACTATTCACTGTCAATATATTTCACGGGAATCTGTTGTACTTTCGATGAAAATAATCGTTAAAGTTTAAATAGCCAAAATCACGCAAAGCCTCTATGTAATGGTGCTGATGACGTGGTATTTGTGACGTCACATGCCTGTAAATATGTTAAGGCAATAAACAAATAGTATTAAAGAAGAGAAATTAAAGTAAATGTTATGTTTTGTATTTGTGTCTACTCTGGTTTTGTTTATAAAAATGAGCCACAAATAAGGATGATGACTAATTTTTGTTTGTTTGTCCGTCAGGTAGAGTGTTAAAAAATATTAAACACGTATTTTTTTATTTTTTTCGTCATCATAAAATTACGGCGTTACATTGAGTAGAAATTTCGCATGACGTCACGTTAGAGTACGTTTTCTACTCAACTGTGACGTAGCGAGCCCCCACTCCTCAACTTTAATGCCTGTTATCTATACTATTTCTTGTTAAATTGAAGTAAAAAAAAATACGTATCTAATATTTTTCTATTATCTGACTGACGGACTAAATAGAATTGCATTTTTTTTACCCAGACATCATCCCTTTTGTATGTATTGATATTTTAGAAAATTTTGCGTGACTGTAATAACACTGTTTTGAAATGGCAGCTTCCTGTTTACGTGTGACGTCACACGCCGGTAAACGGAACCTGTTATTGGTTGAGACGACAACCAATAACAGCTTGTTTTCGTCGTTCATTAAATTCCTAAAAATGTTGTAATTTCTTTACGTTATTTTACTAAAGTGAAACATATTTGTCTGCAGATATTAAGAAATAAACTCATTTTATTAATGGCTTATCTACGCATTTCGCACAATTCTGCCAATGTTAAGTGAATTCATTAATTTCTACATGTAAAATGAAAATGCAATGAATTAAAGAAGGCTATGATGTAATTAGATTATTATCTAACAGGATGACCACAGCATGCAACTTATTTTCAATAGTGTCAAATACCCTATTGCGTTGAATAGGGATGATGACTGGGTAAAAAAAATGCAATTCTATTTAGTCCGTCAGTCAGATAATAGAAAAATTTTAGATACGTATTTTTTGTTACTTAAATTTAACAAGAAATAGGTTAGATAACAGGCATTAAAGTCGAGGAGTGGGGGCTCGTTACGTCACAGTTGAGTAGAAAACGTACTCTAACGTGACGTCATGCGAAATTTCAACTCAATGTAACGCCGTAATTTTATGATTACGAAAAACAAACAAAAATTAGTCGTCATCCCTATTATCTTAATTGTAATACATTTTTGTCTGTATAATTTTTATTAATATGTAGTTTATATCATTTTGTGCAAATGAACATTGTTTAGTGTGAAAGCTCACAGATATAATTGTTGTTTAATGTTAAAATTTGTTGTTCTAAATGGATGTGTTAGAAGAAATAAATGGGTGCAAAATTATTTCGTCTTTTACAGTTTAAATACAGACCTCTTTATCCATTGCACGGCAGAGTTACAGTTTTTTAAAATATATTTATAAAAAATTGTAATATACTAGCACGCTATGTCTTTTTCGTATTTTATAGTAAAATACGAAAAATTGTAATAAATTTGTAATGTAAAAAAAAATTGTACCAAAGTATCATAAGTGCAGTATGTAGACCTAATATCGTACAGAGGCTTTTCTAACTTTATTTGTCATACGCGCCTATAATTTACGTGGCCGAAGACGCGTGCAAACATAACTTGTTAAGGTATAGAATCAATGAATATACGAGTTAAGGGACTGAAGACATACAGAATAATCCTATACCGCTTAAAACATTAAAGTCGAAGAACAAATGTGCTTTAGGCTAAGTGGTGCTAGTCGACGCAATACTTAAATCGTTTTGGTCGCAATAACGCAACTTTAATAGAAAAAGTTGGATCAAAGCTTCGAAGGAAAACATTATTTTCTTGGAAATTATAAATTTTATATAAAAGAACCTACTTATAATACAATTATATAAAAGTATCTAAATATAATAAATATTTATTTTGTATATTATATTTAATAATTTATCAGATGATCTCTGTGCGACATATAAATATTTTATCTAAAATACCTTGAACAAGTAGGTATTTGTGTTGTTAAGTAAGTACCTAACATATATATCTAACCAGACTTCATTTAGATACAAATTACTTACAAACATTAAGGTTTAATGTCAAGTGCATTTCGTCTTATTTGTTTAACCTGACGTGCTGTTGGCTGGACATTTTTTAGTCCGACAAAAATGTAAGAGGTGCTGTCGATCCAGCACCTCTACCATGCAGAGCTGACGCACTTTCGGAATCAGAACTTAAGTTCCTACTAGCTAAATAAAATAAATACAAAGTTGGGTTGTAAATATAAGTGAAAAATTTTATTGACAACAAACAAACAGCAAAAGTCACACGTTACCGTCACATATCGACGCTGGAAAGCAAACACGTAGTAACCCACAAAACCAAAATGGATATTTAAAGTGGAAAATCTTTATATTTTTCCAAATTATTTTTTTTATTTCCGTACAAATTGACTAAGGAATACCTTATTTATTACCATGGACGTTTATAGGAATTATTTATCAAAAAAATAAAATAAAAGCTTTTCTGCTCTGAAGGACAATTTTGGGTTACTACGCGTTTGCTTTCCAGCGTCGATATTAACTTTCGAATGTACGATGGCCAGCTACTAAATTGGATAGAACCTCCAACAAAAAATACCTAAAATTTTACCTTATGTCTCAGTCAGCGCTAACTGCTCAAACACTATGTGTGTTCACTCTGAAATCATCAGAATCACATTCAGTTACGTTAATAATACCCTTTTCCACATAAGTCATTTCGAAGCTAAATTGTTAATCATAATTTTAGTCCCATTTATTGCGTCGTCGTCACTCGACGGAATTGCGACAAATCTGACCTATGAAGAGAAAAATTGCGAATCGCGCACAATAAATTGCACAATTTGTCCTAACAAGCGGATGACAAAACAACAGGTGGGAGTACGGGTGTTGTTCTATTATAATTTGGATATGTTTGGATTGATGTATCTTATATTTTTTACTAGTGGCCGCCAGCGACTTCGTCCGCGTTTTCCATTATTTCTTCGCTTCTCATAGTTGCAACGTGATGTTATATAGCCTAAAGCCTTCCTCGATAAATGGTCTATTCAACACAAAAATAATTTTTCAATTCCTGAGATTAGCACGTTCAAACAAACAAACTCTTCAGCTTTATAATATTAGTATAGATTTTATTAGATATTATAATACTTACACTAACAAAATGGCTCGCAAAGCGGATTTAAGGTGTCGCCATATGAAGTAGAAGAAATAGTAGAAACATTTAGAGACCTAAAATCAGTGGCGGACTAACCGGAGGCAGAGGGCGGCAATAGGTCCATATTAACAACTTTTTCCAACCAGGGCAGAAACTTGATATTGCTACTACACACCGGAGGCCAAGACGGACCGCCCCCTTCATTCCTCTTAGTTCGCCACTGTCTAAAATAGAACAATATCAATAAGCAACAATACATAACTAGGTCATTTAGCACCCTGCCTCACAGTGTTAATCCGGCACTAGGTGTGCTGTTTCAACACTGACATTCTGGCAGGGCCTGTTAGATGCGCGGCATCAGACATAAATAAAAAAAAAAACAAACATTATATAAGAAACAGAAAAAAATATATTTAGATTTTGATAGATAGAACATCGTAACATATGACAAAAAGGGTTAAAGGTTAACAATAATAAAAAAAAGAATACTTTTTGGATGATATACAGAGCATCCAGAGAGAGAAATTTAAAAAAACATACAATTTTGAAATTTATATGTTAATTTAATTTATATTTATAATAATTTAATGTGTCACTAAGCGGAGTTATGATATATAAAAAATGAGGAGTAATTACACATGTGCAATGCTTATAAGATATGTACTCAGTATCCATCTCAGAGGTCCCGGGCTTGATTCCCGGTAAGGGTACCGCCTAATTCTCTTGCTATAACTAGCCATAGAACAGAACTTCGTAACCGTTCACTTAGATGTAACGATGTTATGATGATAC